GTAAACGAATTTTTGACAAAAAGCCAAATCCAAGAGAAAAATCAGAACTACACACACACAATTTCTTTCTGGAAAAAGGATAAGATAAAAAGTGAGTCACACAAAATAGATACTTCTGATACTGGCAGGCACTGGAGTTTCCAAGGTTTGAAGATGCTGAAAGCATTTCTGCAAAACAGAACTACCCGTGCTGCACAGGGGTATGCAGCTAATCAGTCTCCATTAACAGTGCATCCACAGAAATATCAGAAACATATGCTGCTCCTTTTTCAGCACTTTGTCAGACCATTTGTCTCAGCTGGACTTTCTTGAGAATCTTTGCTGCAAATGCACACAGGAAATAGGCATTTCCTAGCACTACTTCAATGTGCATTACTTCAGTGTGCTCCCTACCATCCTGATCTTGAACCTTTACAGTCCTTCCCTGGAAATAAAATCTTACATCCATCCCAGCCCAAGTTAGTTATCTGTAGGTTTAAGACAGCTTAAGCAACATTCAGTACCAGGCTCTTTAAAAGGAGTGAAGGGAAGGTCAAAATCAAATTAATCAGAACTGGATCCTGCGTTGATCTTTCTTACTGTCTGTATTTTCTCCCTTACTTCACATTATGCCGTTGGTAGGTTTCATCCTAGCCAGACTGCATGCAACTGAAGTAAAAGGACTGCTTGAAACGAGTGAAAATAGCTTTGTAACCTAATACATAAAGCATTGTTCAGAAAGCCGACTGTGCTGAAGAAGCAGAAGTACACAGAAAGCATAGAAAAACTCAAGTTACCTGCAACGAGTCCCTTCTCTGCACTCACATAGAAGTGTTCCTACAGTTTTCCTACTGGCAACCTGGAGAGCTTAAACTTTCATGATCCACCTGTGCTCAGAATTTAAGTAAAATTTTTTTATTGCCTGTTCTTCTGCTAATGGCATGAAGCTTCAGGATCTGAATAAAACAGCAAATTGTTATTAGAAGTGGAGAAAAGATCAGATGTTCCCTCTTACATAAAACATACAGTTTCTGCTGACCTCACATGAGGTTCACTGGTACTAAACATTAAAGGGCTGTCACACTTTTACTGAGGTAGACACTACTGCACTTGACCTTGTTTGTTGAACTTAATCCCCTTCTTCTTACTCTTTCCTTTCTTACATGTTAAAAGAAAAACCTGTAATACAAAAACCCCTTTCTATTCATTTCTATACCTTTTTCTCAATAGCCCAGTGCTCACGAATAAATTTTGAAATAACAATGAAATTTTCCTCACTATAACATAGTAGGGTCAGAGGGTTAAATATGTGACCTAATCAGCACCTTATGCAAAAAGAACAAATTAAATGTGTTACAAACCCTGGCAAACTTTAAAGAATGTTGCTCTTTCAGCAATCTTTGAACATTTTTGCAATGTTACTTGATAGCTGCAGTTTGTAGAAGTTAAGCAGCTGAAGTGTGTAAGGATAAGAAGCTCCAGTAAGCTAAAACCATCAACATTTAATTACTGAAATATGCTGTGTGATCCAGAAAAGGCCTAAAAGCTGAAGCTATCGCACTGCGTAGCTCACTCAGCAAAGCAGCACACAGCTGGTCTGTAAAAAATGAGGAACACACATGGCTTCTAGAATAGTTCAGAAAATCAGCTAAATATCAGAACAGATTATTTAATCAGGAAAAAGGAAAGAATTAAGTTGAGAAGAATGAGGATAAATCAGAGGAATACGCAGATTAATCAACAAGTTATAGTCTCATCACCAAGAGACTACATTGTGGGCGGGAAACCTGCCTGGTGATTGAACAGTAAAAAGCAACTGACAGTGCTGATCTAAGAAAGTATCTGCATAGTATAGAGTTTTCCTTAAAGTACAGCAGGTACAGGGGACAGCAAGAAGACAACGACTTTTCCTTTTTCTTTCTCCATGCACTAGAGATATGGTGTCTGAAAGACCTTAGTGCTTTTATGAAAAGAGATGCCTTCCGAACTCAAGGGCATTAAAATCCACTATATGTGACAAATATCCTTAATTTTATTACTTGGACAGCGAGTGAGGAGTCTATAGATGACAGGTGGATTTTGTTCGCTTGCTTGTTTTACATTTACATATTTTGCCCTGTATAGCAATTGCCACTGAAAGATCTTGGAGCACTTGCTACAGTCTCGTAGAAGTTAACTTGTATTCTCCTATCTACGAAAGTAGGCTCAGAAAACCAAGAGAATCTGTCAGAGTGTGACAGATCAGTGAAAATGCTCAAGATAGAACTTGGATTTGATTCTCAAAACCAGGAATTATAAATGACCATATAAGTCCTCTTAAGGCACAAGTTGTCAGGAATTGAATATGGCGATATTAATCTTACACAACTGTTTGAAGAACATGTATATTTAGGCACGGGAGGAAATACTGTTTTTATAGAAAATCTCTCACCACATAAAAATGGTCAAAATCTCAGTGGGATATGAAAGGCCATTAATCCCACAGAGACAAAAAGTTCATTGTTCATCATAGATTACTTACACTGAGAGAGAAGCATCCACTATGTAAGTCATCAGGTTAGGCTTATATCAAAAGTGATTTAGCTTGGGTCCATTTGTTTATGAGATATTATGGTATTGTCGAAGAAAACAACTCAGAATTCAAGCCATGCCTCTGTAATATACCAGAAACGCTGATGTTTGTACAAACTTCTAGGGACTGAATGTCTCACAACCAGTTTCTTCACATATTCTCCCTCTTGCTTCTTTTTACGGGTCAAGAGCTTCTTCTAAAATTAATTTAAAAATTGATTACATGGAAATATTGGGAAATTTTTTCTAAACTAAACCTTGACTTAAGATGAGTTTTGATCAAAAACTGCCATGAGATGGAGTGAACAAATGAGACGTCCCTAAACTATTATAAATGTTTTTTGTGGTAATCAAGCTCTAGACCCTACCCTCACCATAGCTAGCATGTATCAAGAAACAGAGCTACTGCGTGTTTTGTGAATGAGTTGAAATATCCTTTTCAACATCTTAAGATTTTCTTTGATTTTAGTCACATCATTTGAGAACTCTAAAGAGGAAATGCCATTTCCAAGTCTAAATGAACAAACCAAAGACCAATTCTTTTTACAAAGACACAGGGGGCAGGGAGGTCTAATAAGCAGGATGTCTCCCACTAGGAGTCTGCAACAGTGTTGTCTCCCTCCTTCTAACTTACTGTAAGTTCAAATGAGAAAAGGAGTCTTCTAGATATTACAACTGCCACTTGCTTTACAAGTTACAAAGAAAGTAGCTATCCAAAAAGAAGAAAACGCAGAAGCTTGTTTACAGCATCAGTATTTCCCAGATAATTACTTGCTTGTTATATTTTAAACACGTCTTCCATATGAAATACCATTGTCATATCAAGCTATGTGCACATACAAAGTAGAACTGAAAGAGCTGACTGACTCTTTATTTTAAGTGATTTTTTCTTTTACAGTTTAGTGTAACTGGAGGTAGATGCAATATTAAGTGATTTTCTTCCAGTGGTTTGAAATAATAGTCATCTATGAACACTAGGACAGAGTACTGGAGATTGGAATCAGTTGTTTGAAGTTAAGCCTACATAAACATGCAAATGAAACAACAAAAAACAAATCACAGCAGGTTATATGATGATTGTCAGTACAGTATAGTGCAGATCTTGGAGAAAATCCTGTTAAAATTGTAAAGCTAGTACTGCAAAAAAATAATATGATGTATGCTACTTTAAAAGATACACAAGATTCAGAATATATAAACTATGCCGTTCATATTATTTTCCATATATCTCAAACCATCAAAATCAAGTTGAAAGGAATTACACGGCAAAAGAGTCTGTAATCTGCTATGCCTGAATATATTTCTGATCCCGCAGGCAGGAGTTAATTTCATATAATTGTATGAAAATGGATACTGCCATTGTCAGGACTTTCACCTTAACCCAAGTCTATCAGCCTCACTTTCAGAGCTGTTAAATTTGTCCTCTTCAGTAGATGCCTTTGTGGGAGTAATGGAAGCTCCCAGCAACTTCAGTTTAAAGTATTTTTTACAATTACATTACACTATTGTTTGGTCCATTCAACGAAGAAGTGCTCACTAACCTGTAACTGGAGACAAATACTAATAATCAGACAGGACTTAGCTATGGTTTATTAACAAAATTATGTAGTAGTGTCCTTTCCTTAGAATTCTAGAGTTGCAAAGGAGCAAAAATGGTCTGATGTAATATAAATGGCAAAAAAATGTTTTTAGCAATAAAATGGAAAATGCTTTTTAAATAAAATCTGCAATGCTTTTTTTTTCTTTTAGATTTCCTGCTAAGTTTGTTGAACAGATGGATCATCCAAAATGCAGATACTTCTGTAAACTGAAACACTAATATATATCTGCATATATGACCATACACTGCAACATATCACAAACAGATGCTCAAGAACAGCTTAGAAAGAAAAATCAGATTGCATGCTTTGTGTTTCCTTGGTGCAATTTCTTGCCAGGTGCATAAAATTTTGAGATCAATTAATGAACAGATTTAAGCATGTACTTAATTCAAAGACCACAAGTAATTTTACTGGAATGAGTGGGACTCTTTAGAGACTTTAAGATAAGCCTGTCCTGATGCCCTCAAATCAGCAGGCCTATAATGTTCTGCCTCTCGCAGTATGGAGTCCATTTCAGGAAAAGAAAGATGCCAAGTAATAAGTGACCTCATTCTCACCCTTCCCTACTAAGAACAGAAAGCTTCCCAAACGAAGTTTACAAGAAAGCTGCAGGCAAGCCTCACTCATCATGCAGATGCGATGGTCCTTTTAAAGTTAATAGGCAGGATGAACATTTGATCTCTAATATACAGAATACAGACAATAAAACTTGCACTGGTTGTAAAATGGGAATGTACTTCCTGGCTCAGGAACTGTGAATCTGCTCTGTAATGCACAAAATGTATTCATTTTTGTTTGTTTTCTTCTTAGTTAAAACTCAAATATATCATTCAGCATAAATTTAAGTGCTTTACATATGAAACTGATTTATATAATATTTGAAACTTTACAAAATAGTACTAAAGTAGTCAATAAAAAGATCAGGTTTAAAATATTTACATTTTATACATCATTTCCCTGTACTTACAATTATTAAATAATCATCTCTGGTTTCCTTAATTTTAGGGAAAATAATAACTACAAACTAATTTTGAATTACTTTCAAATGGCTTTTTACTTAAACAGAATTTTAGCAAAATCACATTTCCAATGTGAAATATTACCCCCATCTTTTCAGTAGCAGTTATATATATATCCATGTTTTATAATGCAATCCTGTTTTCTATAATAAACAGTGGACATCTAAATAGGAAAATGGCACAGTATGGATGGAAACATTATATTCCCAACTCTTAAATCCCTTTATGTCATTTGACTTCTAGAACATCCAGTTTCTTGATAATTTATGTTATTCTTCCAGTACTTTCAAGGAATTACAGATTCAGTACTTATTTAGATTTTTGTCTTGTTCATCTTTTGAAAAGTTATTTCCTGAAGGTACTTCACAGACACTATCACCATCCGTGCTGAAATCATCATCGTCATCATCATCAGAATCAGCCAACACCTTACTTGGCGACTTCTTCAGTCTACTAAAACAAAAATACACATATTTGCTATTAAAACTGCACATCTACATGCAGAACACTTATGCAAAGCTTAAAACATTGACAGGCAGGATTTACATTTTTAAAGGATGTCAAAGAAACTTGCGCTCCAATAGGGGTACTTTACCATAGACTACATCTTACATGAAAGAAACATACAGGAGAATGAAGATCAATCAATCATATTTTCAAGCACCTCTAACTAAAGCCACAGAGAGGGGAAGCTGTAAACTTTGCACACTGAGGTGTTCAAAGATGGCTGAGGAAAACTAACACGGGATAGCTGTACCTCTCAGTCATTAGCAGGACATTTTTATTACTACAAATGATAAGAGTGTCGAGTCCCACCACCTTTTTATATTTTTTATTCGCTGCCTCAATGACTTTATTCAGCAGGCAGATTTTGGAAAGAAGGTTTGGGCACCTAGAGCACCCTGGAAAGAGTTGGAGAACATTTATAGAAAAAGGAAACGCAGAAGAGTTTCATAGGTCTGCCTCTTAAACTCTGTATGCTTATGACAAACATGAAGTTTGTTAGAGGAAGCCCTCAGTTTATGGACTAAAGGAGCAAGAGATCAATCTTGTGAGTGGTGGTGTGATACATGATTGTAAGGTCTGACAAGTCATCCTACCTTATTTCCTTCTTTGCAGCATTAAGCTGTCCTTGCAATTGTTCATTCATGTCTAGTTGCTCTTCCAGTTCCCTCTGGAGTTTCTTTTTAGCACTTTCCAGTCTGTCTATTTCTTCTTCAGCTTCTTCAACTTGACGTTTCATTGCTTTCAAACGCAAACTCAACTGAAATATTTACATGTCAGCTGATTAGAGGACATTTTAATAAAGGAATTTTACTCTTGCAGCATCTATGAGAGGGAGAATAAAGACACAACTTTGCCAGCGTAGTTACACTGTAATCCTATGCTTCAGAAATATTCAAAAGTCAGCATTAGACTTTAAGAAAAGTGATGGGATACAATTTTTTAAGAAATAAAAACAGCAACAAGCAAAGATAGCTTTGGTAGAGTAAGACAGTATTATGTGATAGCAAGAGCTGGTTATCAATAAGGGAACACTGGAGCTATTAGTGTGTCTAAGTCAAACAACTTTACCAGACAGATACTATAAAATACGTTTTAAAAACCCAGAGGATTTTAAAAGATTGTTCCCTTAGCAGATGTCTGCAATTTGAAACATACTGTTCATTCTCTAGGCAGAATATTAACTATTTGACTCACGTACTGAAACAAACCATGTTTTAAGTCAGGAATCAACAAAGACCACAGGAATGGTAAAGCACATTGCTATCAGAATATCAACGTATGCTTAATACTTATAGCTGATATTTAACAACAAATAGCTTCTTTCTTTAACCAAAATTTTACAGCGGCAAAACAGAATATATTATTTGTTGGTGTATGTATTTATAAGATCATATGTTGGTGTATATATTTATAGGATCATATGCTGTCTGTTATTGCCTTTATTTCTTAAAATATTTATACCATTGCTTCTGTAAGTGCTTTCTTTTCATAATTTTAGAAATGAATAACAATTTAGTACTAGATAAAAGAACATGATGACAATGGGAATTGTGAATCTCACTAAATAGGAGTTCATAAACAAAGAGTAATCAGTATCTACCTATATTCTTCTCATATCTTTTATATACGATGATTTATGCTAGTAGGATTAAGATCAGATATTTGCATATTAGTCTTTCCTTCTACCTGGTCCTTTTGATCAGTCAATGAGAGATGTTCATCATCTACTTGCAACATTAACTCCTTCACTTTTCTTTCAAGTCTGCGGTTACTTAGTTGGAAATTAGCTCTATCTCTAGAAAAAAACCAAAACAAACAAAAGACAGGCTTGTAAAAAAAGGAACTGAAATACTTCCAATCCTGCTGACATAATTCCTTAGCAATCTTCTAAGAATTAAATAAATACTAACAGCCCCTATTTTGACTTACTGATTCCATGCAACATATTAAGAAATTTGTTTAAAAGCATGAACCACTAAGGGGAATTTCTTCTGTCTCCAGAGCAACATTTAGAAAAAAAATACATTCCTCCAAGATTAAACAATGAAGTGAACATGAAAAGGGAGTGTTAACTACAGTTAATATTTCTAAGCCCGTTACTGATATTAGACATTGATAAAACAATGAGGTATGGAACCATGTTAGCACTGTGCCCAGTTTTAAATTTATAAGGCAACTTCTAGTGTGCTTTCAGTCAAAAAGAAAATTTACAATACTTGTATGAAACAGTAACCATTTTAATTTGGTGCTTGTGAGAAAAAAAAAATCAAGTTCATTGTATTAGAGACTTAGTATTAGTAAAAGGCCATATTAACAAACATAAATATGCATATTTTGATCTTAGCATAACTAGTTTCACCTCTCTTCATTTTCAAGTCGTTCTTCTAGCTCTGTGATCCTCACTTCCATTTGAGCAACAAGTCCCTCTTTACTGGATCGGTAAGAACCCTCCAGGTGAAGGATTCGGCTCTTCAAGTCTTTGTTCTATAGTTGGAACATACTTGATTACTACATACATGCTCATATTAACAAATATCACCTTAACACAAAATAAATTTCTCCAGGCAAACATAAGGTGATCAGTGTATTTTTAATTTAGTAAATATGGAAAAAGAGAGTCAGTGAGATTTTACTGTTTACTACAAATAAATCTCCTATTACTGTGCTTTATTGAAAAGAATTTAGTGTTAAGCCTGAGTTCAAGTTTTTTAAATGGACCCTTGAACCTCAGATGGTTGCAAGCCCTTTCTAACAGCATTTTTTAATATGCCAAAATTTTTCAAATAGCATTGGATCTGTCTCATTCTCCACACAACTCTTTTGCAAACTCTGTATTCTTCCTCTGTAACTCACTGGTGCATGGCTAAAACAAGTAGACAAAGAAATTACTTGTATCCAATATTGCTTTACTCTATCAGAGCTGTTACTGTGGGTTTTTTTCCCCCCTTTCTTAACTATCCGATGCTACTCCTACTATATAAATAGTTTGAAAAACTTTGCAAGCTGCATGATTTGTAAAAGCAGACTTTTTGCTCAGATTCACACGTTAATTTTTATGAGGCTAGGTAATTTAGGTTTTCAATGGGGACCCAATGATAAAGTTGCCAGAAAAAAAAGCAAGAGTTACACGAGGAACAGAAAATAAAGCTCTTTGTTACAGAACTTCAAACCATGATCTCAGATCTCAAACACTAAAAAAGCTATGATAGAAAAGTCAGAACTAAAGTATAAGGATGTACATAGGATATACCAGTAGGTGGCATTTTTTTTTCCCCTCAAAAAATTAAGATGGCATTAATTTCACATAATTTAAGGCACCAAATTAGGTGTTTAGTATAAACATGTTCTCTAAATTCCCATTACAATCTGTTTTACATTCTTGAGACTGTCAATAATACTATGACTTGCCAAGATGGCTTTCTTCTGGATCCCTGCTAGGGGCTATGATAGTAATCTTGCTTTCAAAGACCACTGAGCTGCAGAATAAAATGTTAAAAAAAGCTAGAAAGAATTTTTAATGTACTCTCCGTCACAGATATTGAAACATATGAGTCATATTCCTTCCTAAACAACAGAGAGTAGCAGTTCTCTATCAAATCTGTATCTTCTCTTTCAGAGGCATGTCATTTTTTCACTTGTTTGCTCCTATGTAAGAAAATACTCAACTAAAATCACAATTGCTTGAAATTATGCTCTACATTCAACAATGTTCCTGAAGCACTGTTAAGAGTTTGAAGAACAGCTCCTCCAAAAGCGGTCAAAGGATTTACAGCTAAACTGGATAACAGTGTCTTTGATATTCTATAGTCTTTTCTGTATATGTGCTTTTTAAAAGTTTCTATATTGATATCTCAGTTTTATTCTAAAACAAGTGTACCATATCAACCGTCACATTTCTTATTTTTAATGTCTTTGATCCTCAAAGGTATAGACAGAATTTGTGTGGTAGAGAGATGCCTGCACTCACTACAACAAAAATGCTGTATTATATTATAGAAACAGATGTATGCATAGTACGAGTGTTTAGTATATGAAATACATAAACTGTGTCAAATCTCAAGCTAAAAAGGGGGGTACAGAAAGAAAAAAACACTAAGAGAAGACTTAATTCAAGACTATAATATTTTCTTTTGAGTATCAGTATTAAGATACTCATGTTTTTAATCTATTCTTACTAACACATACTTCCAGCAGCACACTATGGTGGGATAGTGCCAGCTACCAAACACTGTATTCCTTAAATGCTTATTTGAATTTCCTAATGAAGGCAGGTACCCAGCCTGTTACCTTGCTAGTGTGATGATATGCCAGCCATAATTACCTGTCTTTCCAATGAAATTTTGTCACATTCCAAATCTTGCTTTATAGCTCTTTCCTGAAGTAGCTCTGTCCTCATTTGTTCAATCTATTATAGAAAGAAAAGACAGACATTTTAATAAAAGATTTAATTTACATTTATCTATATGATATTGTGTATCTGTATATATACACATATACATAAAGTCATATACCTACGCAATGAGAAAAGATTTGCTTTTTCTTAGAACTCAAGACATACGCATGATTTCAGATGAAGTTTACAATTACAGTCTTGAACAAAATTTTCCATTTGGGAAGCCCATGTTATTCCCAGTGCTTATTCTAGGCACTTTCCAGCCACATTGGGTATTGTTGACGTTCAGTATATATATTCTATAGTAGGGAACTGAACTCTAAAATGTTGCATGAGAGACATATCATATGGCAGGGAACTGAGTTCCGGAACATCATATCAGACTTCAAACACCTTCTGCAGTTGTTTTCTTCGTACTTAAGTCTGAAGCTCTGAAATGGCACGTTACCTTTAAGCTGCTGGCTAGTCTATTTTAAAGTTTCATTTCATTAAACACAAACTGGTAACTGCAGAGAAGTGCCTAGAACTCAGTAAGACACTCTACAGACAATTACAGTTTTCTATGTCCGTGAGAATAGTAAAAGCTCTTTTTCAACAGACTCTGATGCATACTGGATATGAACATTGCTTCCCTCCTCCAGTCAATTTTATGTCTGTCATACCAGAAGAGCACCGACTTCTGGATTTGGGGAGGGGATGGGTTTTGTTTGTTTTGTTAAAACACAACTTTTGCTACAGTTTCTGTAAATATTTCAGTTGCATATTCAATTACCAAAAGGAAAGTATATTCTCCATATTTAAGATGTTAAAAAACTACCTGATCAATACAGAATCAAGATCAGAATACAGAATTAGTTTGTTTTATCTCACTATTGGACTTGAATGAAAAAAAAAAAATTCTGAGGATCAAAGAGGAACTCTAACCTGCCTAACAGCTGCTACTGAAACTTCAGGGCTAAAGGAAAAGGTCTGTAGTGCCCAAATACTTTTCTTGCCTCTCATACCTGCTGAGACTGCCCTCCAGTCTTTACAAATGACTTTGCAGACACAGCTAATGTTACCACAGCATTTGTGCTATTCCCTGCACAATGTTTACTATGATGTATATCACCTGGGGAACACAGTGAACATCTATGCCAATTACTGTACCTGCAAAAAGACTGACAAAGGTTTCAGTGGCCACAGCATTCATCCCTGCTTTACAACAGTTACATATGAACTTGCATACACCATCACAGTTAAGCAGCTCCAAGTTACAGATTTATCTCACTAAAGGTCTTTCAAAACCCATTGGGAATTCTTGCATAAAAAAATCCAAAAGCAATGCTAAGAATGTGAAGGTTAAACACGTACAGCACATGAAACTTTACCTTAGGCCTTCTTTTTTTTTATCACATTGTAATATTAAAAGATACATTTTTAGTTAATCACATTTTTAAAAAGTCATTTACACT